GAGGGAGGAGTGGGGGGGGGGGAGGGGAGGAGAGAGAGAGAGTGTGTGTGTTTATACAAGTAACCTGAAGTTCTTCAAGTCCCTTGCCAGCTTTGTGACCTATCCTCACTACATAATTACCTTGCTGTCAAAAGAGCTGTTTCTCCCTACATGTGCTCATTATCCCTTGTGATAGGTCTCCTTTCTTTTCATCATCAAGTCCTATTCAGCATTCTCCTCCTGATCAAGTGTTGTGCTAACTCACCATCAAGTGGGTTATTGGGCAACCTCTTCAACAGCTCTGGAGCAACATGGCCCAGCAAGCCCTACATTGGGATGAGTTGATCTCCTTGCTTTAAACTTAAAAACAAACAAAAAAACCAACCGTGCAAACACTCTGGAATTTATGCACCAGAATGCCCCCTAGTATTGGAAAACCTCCAAGCATATAGATGGGTGGTGCTTGTGGGAATGTTGGGAAGGATCTTGAATGCTCTAGAATTTCCTTTTAAATTACCAAGCAACAAGATCAGTGGGAATACTCAGTTAGGAAGGATTGCTGGCTCTCATTCCAGCTAAGCAGAATGCTATCTATGGGTATGTCTACACTGCCCATGTTACAACACGGCCAGGGCAGCGTTGTGACGTGGGCAGTGTAGTCATGCTTTATCGTTGGGGAAGAGCTCTCCCGGCAATTAAAAAATAACCACCCCGAATGAGCGGTGGTAGCTTTATCGCCAGGAGCATGGCTGGCTATACTGGTGCTTTTCGGTGCTAAAACTTTTGTCGCTCGGGGAGGGGTGTTTTTTCACACCCCTCAATGACTAAAGTTTTAGTGCTGAAAGTGGCAGTGTAGACACAGCCTATCTGTTCACTGAAGATGAAAGTGAGGCATGAGGATGAACCTGCGGTGCATGGGCCACACTCCAAAGAATACCTGCCACTGGAGGGAGTAGCCGGCTTTCAGACTTCCTACTTTATAGATAGGGAGCAAGATTATCCACCTGCCTCCCCACCAAGTGCCATTGGAGGAAATAAATGGCAAATAGTTGGCTGTTTCCAGGGATGAGCAAAGGTCTGAGCTGGTTCAGCCATCCCTAATTATGTGCAACATATTAATACCTTTTCCATCCAGAAATCATACTATTGCATTTCCAAACCTCTTTGTCAAAACAGGGTGTCTGCAAGATGATCCTCTTACACCAATATAAACTTTGCATACCTTGCACGAAAGGAGACGCAGGAACAGGAGAGGACTTGGCAGAGCTAGGAAGAACTGGCTTTGTTGGCTTGACAGATCTGTTTATAGGAGCTTAAAACAAAAAAAGAGACAAACATACCAATGTCACGTCTATGAAATGAGAACAAATACAAAGAAGGTCTGAGGGCTAGTCAAGAGACCTTGAGAAATTCATTTGTGGCAGAAAAAGAGCCTCTGACTCATGTGAGTAACCTTATTCTCAGTGCTTCCACCTTGCCATAAATATCCAAGCTTGTCAACCATGTGAAAGTGCAGAGTTACATACTGTTCAATTGACTTTTCACTTTAGCACTGTAAGTTTAATTCCCAGCTAAATAAATCCCAGGTGCAACTGAAGTAAAAAATGAAGCCCCACATCTCTTTGTTAAAAATCTGCCTGGACACCCCAGCATATGGAGAATTTTAATGAAGCAGTACTCTTGGATGAGAGGAGAGGCATGGCAAACCAAGCCAGGATTCTCAGTTGTAGGAGTGTAGGACTGTGAAAGGTCAGGAAAAGAGAGGTTGGAGCCAAACATGGCAGTTGGGAAAGACAACCCTAACTTTTGCCTTGGGACTGTCCTAGCTACGGGACCCACACTGCCCCTCACTTGACTGCAGTCTCTTTAGAACTTTCCCCTCTTCTTTAAGAACTAGGGCTGTTGATTAATCACAGTTAATTCATGCAATTAATTCAAAAAAATTAATTGGAATTAAAAAAAATTAATCGTGATTAATCAGTTTTAATCGTACTGTTAAGAGAATACCAATTGAAATGTATTAAATATTTTTGGATGTTTTTCTAAATTTTCAAATATATCAATTTCAATTACAACACAGAATACAAAGTATACAGTGATCACTTTATATTATTATTTTTTATTACAAATATTTGCACTGTAAAAATGATAAACGAAAGAAATAGTATTTTTCAATTCACCTCATACAAGTACTGTAGTGCAATCTCTTTATTATGAAAGTACAACTTACAAATGTAGATTTTTGTTGCATAACTGCACTCAAAACCAAAAAAATGTAAAACTTTAGAGCCTACAAGTCCACTCAGTCCTACTTCTTGTTCAGCTAATTGCTAAGAGAAACAAGTTTGTTTACATTTATGAGAGATAATGCTGCCTGCTTCTTAATTAAAAGTGAGAACAGGCATTCACATGGCATTTTTGTAGCCAGCATTGCAAGATATTTACGTGCCAGATATGCTAAACATACATATACCTCTTCATGCTTTGGCCACCATTCCAGAGAACATGATTCCATGCTGATGACACTCGTTAAAAAAATAATGCATTAATTACATTTGTGACTGAACTCCTCGAGGCAGAATTGTATGTCTCCTGCTCTGTTTTACCCGCCTTCTGCCATATATTTCATGTTATAGCAGTCTCGGATGATGACCCAGCACGTTGTTCATTTTAAGAACACTTTCACTGTAGATTTGACAAAATTCAAAGAAGGTACCAATGTGAAATTTCTAAAGATAGCTACAGCACTCAACCCAAGGGTTAAGAATCTGAAGTGCCTTCCAAAATCTGAGAGGGATGAGGTGTGGAGCTTGCTTTCAGAAGTCTTAAAAGAGCAACACTGTGATGTGGAAACTACAGAACCTGAACCACCAAAAAAATAAATAAAAAATCTTCTGCTGGTGGCATCTGACTCAGATGATGAAAATGATCATGTGATGGTCCTCACTGCTTTGGATCATTATCAAGCAGAACCCGTCATCAGCAGGGACACGTCCTCTGGAATGGTGGTTAAAGCATGAAGGGACATATGAATCTTTAGCGCATCTGGCACGTAAATATGTTGTGCTGCCAGCTACAACTGTGCCATGCAAACGCCTGTTCTCACTTTCAGGTGACATTGTAAACAAGAAGTGGGCAGCGTTATCTCCTGCAAATGTAAACAAACTTGTTTGTCTTAGCAATTGTCTGAGCAAGAAGTAGGACTGAGTGGACTTGGCTCTAAAGTTTTACATTTTTTTTGTTTTTGAGTGGAGTTATTTTTTGTACATAATTCTACATTTGTAAATTCAACGTTCATGATAGAGATTGCACTACAGTACTTGTAATCGGAGAATTGAAAAATACCATTTCTTCTGTTTCTTTTTTACAGTGTAAACATTTGTAATAAAAAATAAATATAAAGTGAGCATTGTACACTTTGTATTCTGTGTTGTAATTGAAATCAATAGATTTGAAAATGTGGAAAACATCTAAAAACATTTAAATAAATGGTATTCTATTATTAACAGTGCGATTAATCACAATTAATTTTTTTTAATAGCTTGACAGCCCTACTATGAACCCTAGCAACAGACATCCAGCGGCACTGTGTTTACTCTAGAGTAAAATTATCATGTGCTTAAAAAATTAAAACTCACGTTTTGTAGATTGTGAAGTACTGCCTTCCGTAGGTTCAATGTAGTTATCTTCATCATCTACAGGCACGATATAATCATCCTGAGAAAAATGCAGAGAAAAGCTACAAGCTAAGCATGCATTATGTCAAATACACCACACGGCACAAGCCTGTCTTGGCAGGGATGGACAAGATGCACTAACGCCAATGGTTGTCTCAGGCATCTAAACTCCCTCTGTGGCTGGATAAGGCTGGGCTTTTCCATGGACTTTCCCCCTTCACCAAACAGCTCCAATTGTGGCACAGCTGATCGATCACTTACTGTCTGAGTACTCTGCAGCCCTGCCCTGGTGTTCAATATTTCTGTTCCTTCCCCACCTGTCAGCAATCTGTCTCTGGTGAACAGGGAATGCTAAGTGGGCTGAATGGCTCCACAGATTTACGATGTGGGTAAATGTCCACTAGAAACTAGTGTGAGACTGCATTTATTTTTATGACCTACGTAATGATTTGAACCACAGCAGTCAGATGTGAAAGACTAGCATATTAAACAAGTGCAGCATATACTTCATGATACTTATGGGGCCATAATCCATCTGTACGGTAAAGACTTATGTATCTGTGAACATTACCTCATCCTCATGGAACTCTTTGGTCTTGGGTGGCACTTTTGGTTTCAGAGTGGCAGATGATGATGGCAGAGATGGTTTAGATGGTTTCTTCGGTTTAATTAAAGACTGACTTGGCCTGCTTGGCAGTGGCTCCTGGTGGGTAGTGCGATTGTCTTTAAATGAGGGGGGAAATGAGAAGTTTAGTACATAATTACTCACTAACTGCAAACAGTTGTTTTAATATCTATGCAAACTGAGCATCTTTACTATGCCTATAGTATAAGTCATATAGAATGTTCTGTGACTGGAAGTGATGAGAATCTATTATGTTCTATAGTCCTTAAGTACTGTAGCATATAAGTTCCCATGCAGCAAGGTGGGTGAGACTGAAATAGATGATATGGCCAGCTTCTCTGGGGTACCACCAAAATACCTACAAGGAATTGGGTAATACAATTCCTCATTATTTGAAGTGTGCAAATAATGTGTTTATTACCTATCCAGCCACTTGTCTGGCACTGTAGTAGTTGAGTGCCTTATATATATCCAGTACCTGAGCCTCATATAATAAAACTGAAAGAGACGGGGGAAGAGGTGTGCAGGGAGGGGATGGTTATGTTGATATTCCTTTTCCCAATGTCCCAAATCTTGGTCCATCTGAAGTCCATATAAAAACTTCCATTGACTTCAATGGGAACAGTAGTTAGCTCAGAATATAATGTTGAAGGGAAGAGAAGGGTCTGTTTGTTGGAGCAATATAAGCAGAGTCATCTCCTTCCAGTTCTGTTTTTAAGGCTACGTGCTTCCTACTCCCAATTGTTAAGGGCAGTATAGGCTTAGATCTTTGGGACTGTTATGCAGAGGCGCTGACTCTGTGGGTGGTCTGGGGCTGCAGCACTCATGGGGAAAAATTAGTGGGTGCTCTGCACCCACTGGCAGCCAAGCTATCCTCCTCCCCGCCCAACCTCCTCCTCTCCCTGAGTGCACCATGTCCCCCCTCCTCTGCCTATCTCCCAGCGCTTCCTGCCTGGCCCCCTTAGCTTGTAGCATGATCTGGGAAGTAGGGGGAGGAGCGGGAACGTGGCACATTCAGGGGAGGAGGCGGGGCCGGGGCAGGGATTTGGGGAAAGAGTTGGAATAGGGGCAGGGACGGGGTGGAGTTGGGGCGGGGACTTTGGGAAAGGGGTTGGAATGGGGGCAGGGCCTCATGGAAGGAGTGGGGTTGGGGCTGGGGCAGAGGGAAGGTCGAGCACCCAGGGGAAAGAGGGGAAGTCGGCACCTATGCTGTTATGGCCCCTGTTTTGCACTTGCTTGGCTAACAAGTTAGGGTATAAACAAGATAGAAAACAGGGGTCCTTTAATGTTTTGTCCTTCTGGCTTGACCTTAAATCAGCTAGGGAAGAACCAATTCCCAGATTAGGCTAACTGGGTGATTTCTGGGGCGTGCTCAGTGAAATCTCCCCAATGTTCCCATGCATATTGTTTTATTACTCAGTTTATAACTGCTCATCACAAAGCCTGTAGGCCTTCTACAAAATATACTAACAAAAACTTGGAAGACAGCGGCTATGCTGAGGGGGTGTCTCACCTGCCAACAAATCCATGAATCCTTCCAGTAGGCACCCTGATAATTGGGGTTGGGAACAAACAGCCCCCTCTCCTTTTGAGGCTAACTCCTGAGAAAAGGACGGGCTTTACACCACATTGACACCATCTGAAATTCTTTTCTTGTTTTTCAATTTGTTAATGGTGCCGCTGGTATAAATAGCTGAGGGACTGACAGGCTTGCATAACCAAAGATTTCATAGGTACCTGCGTATTCTCCCCTTGAAAATGAAAATGATGAAGGAATCTTCTTTTTCTCTTGCTCAGTTGGAGGGGGCTCATAACTGTCATCACAGTTCTCTTCACTCGGGACCACATACATCTCTGAATCAGAGTGGGCATCTGGATTTTCATAATCGCTGTCCTAGAAACACACAGCTTCCCATTTCTTACTTTGTAAAACATTTGTGGGTTCATTTGTGGAAGTAATACTCAAACATCCCACCAGTTGCATTATTTGCTAACCTACAAAAACACTTGCTTGTCATGACAGTTATGAACATGGTCAACTTCATTAGTGTTACTCTATTTCATCATAAAACATATTTAAAATATTTTTGCTCTGGAGAGAAAGGATTTAACAAAGTGCTAACACCCTGATTTTCAGTACCTCATGCCTTCCTCTCATCACCACTGGAACACCACAGACCTCTCACTTCCTATTTCTGCCTTCTTCCTTCTGTCACCAGAGGCCCTCTGCTAAGCTGTGAGTGCATTCCCCCACATCTGTGAGTCAACAGCCTTATGCTTCTCCACAAGTCCACTATCATGGGAACCAGTTCCTTCCCAGTCTCAACCTCAGCTGCTGATGTGACCTCTATCTGCCCCTTTCTGGTTACTGGTCTTCAGGGAAAGGTCAGGAACTAGCACCAGGAGGAAACAGCTGGCTTTAGGGAAGCAAGTTGTAGAATAAAGAGTGTTCTTCGCCCTGTGGCAGGATGGGTCATGATTTGCTTCACTCTAAAGTCCTGAGGAGACCTTACCATCCTCTACCCTACCTGATGGGGCTTCGCCACTAAAGCCCAAGAAGATAGTCATTCACCAGGTGACAACTACCTGGGAATTAGCTAGTTTTCTATGGGCTAATGAATAATCTTCACATGCTTTATGCAAGGAAAATCTGGGCATCTCAAACATAAAACAATTAGAGATTGTCCTGAGCTACAAAGTTTGGATCTGAACTTTCCTCAAATTTAGGCAAATTTAGGGGTGTTTAGACCAGGGATTCTGTAAAGGGTCCACCTCAAGTAGCATGGAATAAAGGAAAATGGATAAACATTAAATATATTTGAAATGTCAGAAAATGGAGACCAAATCTTATAACAGAGGACAGTGAATTTATATAGATTGTATGGTCTCTGGGGGCAGGAACTCTAGGTGAAATCCTGGACTTATTGAAATCAATGGGACTTTTGCCATTGTCTTCAATGGGGCAAGATTTCACCCTGTTGTTTTTTCTAGTGTTTGGAAAACGCCTAACACGTTGTGGGTGCTACCACTGTCTAAATAAGTGATGCCAAGAATAAGTCACTAACCACAAATTTGACAACACTGATGAATAAGTGAAATCTAAAACTATCTGTAAATCTTCTAAATAAGAATAGGCCAATGTTGGGCCCAGGTATTTCTAAGCTGGGTACCCAAAAATCGAGGCACCTAAATCAGTGGCTACTTTTGAAAATTTTCAACCTCGTGAATATAGTAGGATTTTAATAGTGGAAATGTAGATTTGACTGAAAGTATCTGATTCAGAACTAAACTTTCATTATTATCTCATGTGTAGACCTAATTGAAAGAGTAACTGCTTTCTGACCCCAGGAAAATATACTTACAAAATCATCAGACCATTGTTCATCTTCATCCTCTGCATGTACTAAACCAAACATTTGAGTTATTTAAGGGAATGGAATAGTGATCACAAACATTCATCTTAGCCACTAATTGAATGGCTCTATTGCATTCCACTCTCTCTCTCTCTCTCTCTCTCTCTCTCTCTCACACACACACAATTCCTGAAAGTTTGTGCCAAACACACTTGTTTTTGGCTGAATAGTGTTGGTAATTAGAATTCTGCTTCTGTTGCTTATTTGGTTTTAGAAATTAATTGGGCGTGCTCATGAAAGAGTCCCAGACTGATGTGCTGGACAACGCAGTCCTCTACTTATCCCCAGTCTGAATAGTAGCGATGCAAGCTTCCCCACACTGCCATGCCCGTGAATCCCTTTTTTAAAGGAAACAAAGAGAGAGGAAGAGCTCATTCAGCCCTCTTGACAATTCAGTTCCAAACTGGATGCCAGTTAACTATTATAGTTTTAGGGATGTGGAAGCTTGTCCACTTGGAACTGGTGATAGAAGTCACTGAACGATTATTAGATTGAGAACTTCAAAACAAAGGTAAAACAAAATTGCAGGCAATGAAGGTGTAAAATAAGCAAATATAGCTCCGTTCACACACTTGAAGATAATGTTTGATGCCATCATTATATTAGCACCATCATTATATTAGCACCAACATCAGATTCCATTATTGTGGGAAGGAGACCTATTTGCCCATATTTCTTTCTTTACTTTCACTTCACAAGCATCATAAGCCCTGAACTGGGCTGGCATTCCATCCGGCATGGCTGGATATGGAGCCTTCTCCCCTTTGAAAATGGCCTAGAGATGGATCCCATAGAGTAGGTGAAGCTGCTTCTCAGAGTCAGCTAGCAGGGGCACTTGAAAATATGGAGAAATACCGATCTCATAGAGCTGGAAGGGACCTCAAAAGGTCATCAAGTCCAGCCCCCTGCCTTCACTAGGCAGGACCAAGTACTGATTTTCACCTCAGATCTCTAAGTGGCCCACTCAAGGATTGAACTCACAACCCTAGGTTTAGTAGGCCAATGCTCAAACCACTGAACTGGCCATCAACTACTTCTTGCTATTTGTTTTTCCCATTGGGGTAGCTCTCCACAGTTTGCTGTCCATAGTTTTACCAGAGAGCATTGCATTATAAGTTATTGGTAATGGTTTAGGATTCACCTCACCTAGAAGATGAATGTGAGCAAATATGCAGTTGTAACAGTCTTAGAAAAAATATACAGTTTAAAGTTCCATTAAGCCATCCTTACCTGAAGCATAATCCCTTTGTGGTACACTTGGTGGGGGTTTATTTTTTAGCCTGTAAACAATAATTATTACATTTATGATCCAATAAGTAATAGTTGCAGGAAGGCAAGCATTAGCCAGACACATAAAAAAAGCTGATGACAAAAGATATCTGCAACTGAAGACACAGGTCATTGTCACAGATATTCAGCCAATTGCTGCAGGCAAATGCTCTGAAAAGAGAGTACTTTTTGGAAACAGCCAAGAATATAGAATGCAATCTGAGGTTTTTTTGTTAAGAACTTTTTTTTATAAAGAAACAAACATATAGAGGAGCAGAAGCTACAGGCAGCATTATACATTATAGATATGTGCACATCTGTTTAAAGAAGTAAAGCTGATTGAGGTTCATAAAAATCCTAGTAAGAGGTTTATATGTAAGGTGATAAAAGAGTACAGTGCTCTCTGGTTCTAATTTACAACTTTAGATTTGCATGCTCTTTAAATTCCAATTGAGGCTTAAAAGTTTTCCCAGGCTGTCTCTCAGCCAGATTCTGATCTCACTTACAATGATACATGTATAGCTCCTGCAGTCAATGGAGTTACTGATTTACATTGGTATCAGATCAGATCTGGGCTCTCAACCTTTGCATTTGTCACATGTATGAGGTACTGCATGTTTGGTACAATAATGGAAGTACTAACAGAAAGTCTCACACCAATTATTTTTCATAAGGGAATTCAATTTGAATAGCTTTGGTTCTGTAGTATTGAGTGAACCAAAAGATTATTTATAGAAAGATTGAAACATTCTTTATAGGCTTCTCTTCATTTGCAACTGTGCTATGCTTACCTAGAATTTAAAATCATGCAGGTTCCTGTTTGTTTAATTGTAAGCCCTGGGCGAGCACCCCCAGGAGCTTAGTGTAGTGATCTATTTATTATTCCATTAATGATCTGACATTACCTCATAAGAAGAGAAACACATTTCTGTGAAGTTATTCAAGTCAGATCCAATGCTGCATCTGGGCTATTACATGCTTGAGCGGAAGTATCTGAAGCTACTAATGTTTTGCTTTTTGTATTAATAGAAAACATTAATACCATTTGCATTAAAATGCCCTTTTATAATAATTCTTAATATATAATCCAACAATTTTCCTTAGCACTGATGAGACCACACCCTGGGTTTGAGCCAATGCCCAAGTCAATAGAGAGACTCCAATGGACTTTCAATCAGGTCCCAAAAGAAGTGCTTCTTGTGATGTTGTTTGTTTGCGGAGCTGAGTGTATATTTCACCAGGAATAATGTCCACAGTGACTGTAACTTTTTCTTGTGCTCTTGAAGGTTTCTGAGCCATTGTGATTTCCTTCAATTTTTTCTCTCTTTTTTTTCCCAGTTTTGTTTTTCTTAACAGTTTGCTGCAATAATTCGATACTCAATATTCAAGACTTGGGCATAATGCTTACTTGTGACTGTTCAGCTAAGACCCACAGCTAAATGTTGTTTCTGTTCCCTGATTGGGTAAGTGCATCTAACTGAATACCCAGATGTGCAAATTTTAAGATTTGGTTTCTGTGAATGATTTTTTCCACAGTTTGTGCTAGTGAAACTATACTGCTCATATAGTTGTAAAAAGTGAACATACATGTATGCATTGTGCAGCCATGGCCAAAATAAATTCATTATCAAGCTCAAGAAAATATCCACGGAATATTTTTCACAGAGTTTGCCCAGCTCTCTTGATTAGTGGTGTCAGAAAAAAGTATAGGTAGTTCTTCCTTGCTGAATGGTTACTAGTACCTGACAACATGAGTATAACTTATCCTGCAGGCAGTATGTTATTAAGCATTCTTAACAGCATATCTCATCCATATCTCATCCAGGTTAGCACAGGCATGTTAAAATGAAGAAACCAGGGCCACTGCCAGGGGAAATGGCCAGGTCTAGGTTTGATGGAGAGGGTGGCCCCAAATTCAGCAGGCTGCTCTGTGCTGGATTTGTGCTGAGGTGCACAAGGACATCAGAGACAAAGGAAAAGGGTGGAGAGGAAGCCAATAAGGACCCTTCTGAGGGAGAGGGATGTGTGGCCTGGCCCATATTGTAGGTGTTCGGACAATAAATTGGGAGGGCTCGCTTCAGTATTTTGACTGACACTATAAATCCTGGCTGTGGCCCTGGCAGAATATGTAAATATGTTACAACAAAAGCATGTGAAGCACAGAAGAGCTCTGTATCTGAGCCATCTATCATGCCTTGTGTGGTTCTGAAATAGCATACCGATCCCAAGTATTTTTCCCAGTTTTGCAAATTAAGGCCACTTGTTCATTTTGGAACCTAAATAGCAATAGAAAAGAAATTATGTTTCTGTCACAGAAATGAAACAATTTATGGCCACATCTGTATTTGTTAGTCTCGTCAAATATGTTAGTTATTCTAAAATTCAAACACAAACCCACAGAAAAGTTACTGAACTGTATTAATATTATTTAGTGAGTGTCAACACTGTGGAATCCTGGTCCCATTGATGTCAGTGGGAATTTTGACATTGATTGGACTGGGGCCATGATTTCACCCACTATTTTTGCAATATGCAAACATGAATGACATGGTCCCTGTTCCCAGGAGCTTACTATCTAGTTACCATACATTTATAATACTTGTACATTTATAATACTTTTACACTTTAGGACTTCTTTTTGTAAGCAATGGCAATGGGCATCACACTGCTCCTGTTGAAGTTAACAGCAAAACTCCAAATGACTTCAGTAGAAGAGGATCAAGTCCTATCTAAGTGCATGCTGTTCAAGGGAGAGATTATAGTTGTTCTTTAGCATATCTTTTATCTGCAAAATAGGCAATTACATCAGAAGTGATTCCAAAAGAAATCACAGTGGTAAACAATTTTACCCACTTTGAAAGTGCCCTAAATATACTCTGTTCCATATTTAAGTTACATTTGATAGACTTGTGAGTTAATCCTTCTGGAAAAGTCCCATAGACCTGAATAGGGATTTACAGAAATTACTCAACTCTGAAATATACAGGCTGAAATCCTGACCTCCCTGAAGTCAGTGGCAAAGCTCCCATTGACTTCAGTGGGGCCAGGTTTTCACCCATAAGTTTATTAGAGAATGACTTTTTCTTTTGTGGAGGTTTGTGAAACATCCTACAGAATTCCACAGCCGAGATATAATTTTCAATTCTATAAGACTCATCCAAAAGAAAAATAAATCCAAACAGGTTTTTGAGAATGTTTACAGCTGTTTAAAAAATAACATATCACATCTTTCTGCATCATTAGTTTCAATAAGTAATCAGCTGGTATTTGAGGCATTTCATTTAATATGAGACCAGCATTGCTTTAGTAGCTTTGCACACCATACACTAGACAGCAGCTAGCAGGCAGTTAAGTGAATGAATGACTTCAATTTTAAATTTTAAAAAGTACCATGGTCTGAAACTTCCTCTCTGCAATGTGCTGAGCACTCTGAGGCTGATGCAGCAAAGCCCTTTGGCATGTCCTGAACTTTAAGCATAGGAATACTCCCACTGAAGTCAGAGGTACTACTCAGTTACTTGACGTTGAAGAGTGCTTTGCGGACAGGGTGTAGGTGTAAGTGCTTTGCAGACAGGGTGTTTAATGAACTACAGGACTGAACTCTGAGCCTTGTCCTAACATTGTGTTCCTGGAATACTTGTTTTTAGAGATTCCACCACTTGTGCTAGAGACTGGTACTTGCTCCACTCTACCCTGCATTTCAGCCCATCTCTCCCAGCTTTTAAGAAATAGCTGAAAAAATTTTGTTTTCAAAAATGTTCTTTAATTTTACTGTTGTTGGCCCTTACTATTGATGTGTCCTTTTCTTCTGGTCTATTTTTGTTTACAAGGTGATTTTTTTTATGATATTGCTTTCTTTAGTTGATGTTATGTTTTTACTGTATTTATTGTTGTGCAGTGCCCTGGGTGCACTACATAATTACAACTATTATTAACAAATAAATTCATTGAACCTGTCAAAACTTTGTCAAAACTCTGAACTAGTGCTGTTAAACTGATTGAATACAAACTGAACCCAAATGGAATCTCATGATAGAGTGGAATGTTTCGTTGCTGCTTTGGAAGTGTCTGGTGATAAAGAAACTCTTTAAAATATTTATGAAGCTGCCCATGAATGTTATTAATGTTCTTAGTATGGTTTTACATATTTTCTTTGCACAAAACAGTGGTACTGTAAAGTTTATGGCTACATGATATAATACTTTTGACTTTAATGGATTGTCCCATTTATTAACAAAAGGTCTTGAGCATCAATAATAAGAAATCTGAAACACATTACATTGGTACATAAAGGGAAACACAAGTTTCCTATTGGTTCAGCTAAAATACATGTATGATTATACTGTTTCTGTTTTGTTACCTCTTTCTCCAAGTACTTCAATTTGTTTTCCTGACTAGTTTGCAATATTATATACTCAGTGCATAGTGTGTAAAATACCACAGTTCCAGCTGCCATCTGCAGGATTGTATGAAAACAGGGGGCACAGTAAGTGCTACAGATTTATGGAGCAGGAGAGATCTGAAGTTTGTGAGTGTTTTGCTTGTGTAAGGCATGCAGGATCTCAGGTGTTGTGTCATCTCAGTAGCTGACTATGTGGGCACAAACGTCATCTCAAGGAATGGACAGATTCTGGTTATTGGCAGCCTCTTTATTTCACTTTCTGCTGCTGGCTTTGTCAATGAAGTGTCACTGATGTCCCCAGGAAATTTTGGAAAATCTTTTTTTATATAGAGACAGTTCATCAGATATTTCATCTAAGGCTTGATCTGCAATGTGCTGAGTGTCCTGAGCTCCCACACCCTGCCTCAGCAAGCTACTTAAGCATGTGCAAATCTTTAAGGGTGAAATCTTGACTCTGTTGAAGTCAATGGGAGTTTTGCTTGGGGGCCCTGGGGCCAGGATTTACCCAATAGTACACAACTAGTCCCTTGCTGAATCAGGGCCAATTGAATACAATGGAAGTTGATGGCACTCAGAACCCTGTGGCATAAAGCCCATAACTTCTGTTTTTTATTTCCCTGTTTTGCAATATGAGGGACATGGACATGGAAACAGGCTCTCTGTTGCCTAAAAATCCTACTGTATGCATTACTTGTTCTATAATTGAGTTTATAATCCTCTCTGAAATCATGATCTCCACAGGACCTAAGGCTCCAAGCCTATAACCAGTTATGCACATGATTAAAGGTAAACATGGGCATGTTAGCAAGATACGGGGCCAAATTTTTGGTTTCACAGATAGGAAGGTTGTGACCTAGGTTGGGGAATAAACAAGAAGAGCAGATGAGCTTTTAAGAAACAAAGAGTCTGGTCCCCGATTCTCTTCTCTGTAGTTATTTATATTCATACAACTGTCAAAAGGACTTACAAACACACACACAAGGAACAATCAAATATATTCTGATTTCCTCTCAACAAATAATTTTAAGTAGCCTAGAATGTAAGCTCTCTGAGGCTGGAACTGTTCAATTGTTTACTTATCTATAAAGCACCTATCCCAATGGGACCCCAATTGTGACTGGGGTCAGTAGACACTGTTTTAATACAAATTAATAATAAACAGAATGTATTCCAGGAGCGCTTAATCAGTCTTTAAGGCTTGCAATATAAATGTTCTATGAATAATATATAGGATGAATTCAGACCTGGCGTAAGCACGTGCACTTATACTGACGTCAGTGAAGTTGGATCCCACTTATACTTGACCTGCATTTGAGCCAACATATTTTGCATTTCTCATTGTAAAGACAGATGTCCGCGGAAAACATATGCTATAGAAAACAAATTCAGTTTTTGTCCTATCACGTATCCATATCTTTGAAACCTTGTCTTTCCACGAAATCTTGACATTTCTAGAAGCTATAAAGTAGCTGAGATGGTCTTGTGTCACCTTTATGCAGAGAAAGCAACCACAGTCCACAAAAAGAATCATAGGGTTGGAAGGGACTGCAAGGATATAGTCTAAAAACATAATGAGATATTAACTCTTTTCCACCAGGTTCTGTCTCTGAACCTTGGAATCTTCTATTCCTACTATTATTACAACTCCTGCAATTTTATCATCTAATGATAGTTGGTGTTTTTCTTGAGGCCCTAGCTCCATGCGAATATGAGAATCTCAGCTTTAAAAAAACCCAATACGTTTCTAGCCCTGAGGGTTTCGGAGAAAAGCATGAAAATGTGACCCCAATGCACCTCAAAGGCAAATAAAAAGGCAATTTTAAAATATATTATTTTAAACCAATAACATGATTGTTGGAAGCTAGACTTGTGATTTTGAATACTTGTTTCTGGCAATACTTCCCTACTCCCTGAGGAAGCTGCTTATTTCATAGTTTCCTGGTTACTACTGAGCTCTATGCTGGGTTCACCATTTAATAGAACCCTTCTCCAGCCTGCTCTTCTGGTAACTGGTTCTTTAAATCTGGGAGCATTGAGCAGCTGCAGCCCAAGAATGGCCATTTTGTATCTGACTGATGCAGGCTGCACGTCCCTCCCTTTCTGTATGTAAGTACATTTAGATTCTTTTATTTCCCCCTTCTTCTTAAAGAAGGGGCACATCCTCAAAGCTATACATCTCCAGGTGAAAGCAACCATGGTAAAATGATTTGTCTCTGTAAATTATAACTCTGAGATCCTTCTCTCATTTTTGTTATGTGCTTTCATCTTTGAGACATTTGCTGCTGATGCACTGTGATGTTATTAAGTCTAACTGCTCTAAAGCTGTTACTGTGATATTATTCTTTATAAAAGCTCGGGTATTGATTCTACTACATGAGGGCAGCCTCCTCATTATATCAAGGTCCAGAGCTCTGCAGTTTGTACATACACCATGTTAAAACCCCCTGCAAAGGCAAAGTATGTTTGAGTTACTGAAGGCTCTACTAAACTGACAAAAGAAGTGCCAGTCAAAGGTAAGACTGATGTTTAGCCCTTCACTTGTGTTCTTGTGCCCACATGTAGGCAATGAATAGGTATAGATCCTATGTAACATCGGAATATGAGATTTTCTGCAAACTGCAGCAATACTTAATTACAACAGGGTGAATGAAGGAAAAAGTGTAATGGTTAGCTTTGAATTTCCCTGCTTCATTCTCATGTGTATCACCAGGTCACAGTGAGGGAGAGCTCCATCACACAACTGAGTCTATTTCCCCCACAAAGAGAAGACACTCCCTACTTAGCAGATACTAAAATAATACTTTCCAATCTCGAATTTATCCATCATGGTTGCTGTTACTTAAGCACAGTGTTCTGTGTGCTTCTATGTTTCCATTGGGTATGAGAGCTGCATCGATAGACTATATTGAGTTATTCTGCGTGGTGTTGTCCTATCATTGCAAATGCTTCCTGAAAACCTGGTAAATAACATTTTTTTAAAGTTCATTAATATATCTTGTGTACATCTTTCTTACACCTATAGTAAATGATCCATGGATTATCAATGAGAATATCACATACATATGTTAATCCCATGTGAAAGATATGTTGTATTAAAAATTAGCGTGCAAGCTTAATAGTTATTGTGCTAAAAGATGAGTCTGACTTTGGAAATAAAGGATGTCTTATTCATATAACCACGCATGAAGAAACACCAGGCTTTATCTACACGTATATTGTGATTATTTAATTATAATAATTCTGCAATTTACTGCTGGACTAAGAATATTAGGTTAGGGTTTTAGTGTTATGGGTTTCTTTTAAAACTTCTTATTATGTATGGTATGTTCAGGATTGAGTTTTGAATATTATGGCTGATTAGTTGCATGAAGGTAGGAGTTCAAATGAAAATTAAATAGTAGGGGGTAGCCTGAACATAGGCCTAAAGAGAAAGGGGACACACAAACATGCCTGGGAGAATCAACCTCAATGAATACATTATATGTAGATATTGTTTAAACTGATCCATCAGCAGTTTACACTCTAGAATAATTTGGGGCCTGATTCTGCAGCCGCTGCCATTAATATTAATGACAATCCTGCATGTGGAACAGCTCTGGAATAAAGCTGTTATTAGTATATGTCTATCCAGACACACACACTCCTACCCTCAAAGTGGTAATACAACTTGCTAGATATTCTGAGCTTTAAACAAGGTACAATTATATCAACATCTATAACTTACTTTTTGAATTTGCTCATTATTCCAGTTTCATTTTTCTTGATATCATGTACCATCTTTTGAAGCTGCCTGTAAGATATTGGACAAAACATCATGAAAATCATATAGTGAGGCTGATAAGGCTATTTTTTTTAAAGTATTACAATTATTTTCCTTTCAGTGTAATTGACACATCAAAAAGAGTTTGTTCACTATTAAGTATTTCACTTGCTACAATCACTTGTACATATGCAATATTTTTCCACCTTTCAACAGAACGCTTTGGCAAGCTCTGCATTTGGGGAAAGAAAGATTATCTTTCTAGAGCAGAGGTGGGCAATCTACGGCCCGTGGGCCACATCCGGCCCGCGGGACCATCCTGCCCGGCCCCCGAGCTCCTGGCCCAGGAGGCTACCCCCGGCCCCTCCCCTGCTGTTCCCCCTCCCCCGCAGCCTCAGCTCGCTCGCTCCGCCACCTGCGCAATGCTCTGGGTGGCACAGCTGCAGAGCCTGGCCTGACCTGGTGCTCCAGGCAGCACGGTAAGGGGGCAGGGAGCAGGGGGGGCGTTGGATAGAGGGCAGGGGAGTTCGGGGTGATGGTCAGGGGGCAGAGGTGTGGATAGGGGTTGGCGTGGTCGGGGGAGGAACAGGGGGTTGAATGGGGGCAGGGGTCCTGGGGGGGGGCAGTCAGGAAGGAGGGGGGGTTGGATGGTGCAGCGGGGGCAGTCAGGAGTAGGGGTTCTGGGGGCAGTCGGGACAGGGAGAAGATGTGGTTGGATGGGGCAGTGGGAGTCCGGGGGCGGTCAGGGGACAGGGAGCATGTGTGTGTGGGTGGAGCAGGGGTCCCAGAGGGGCCATCGGGGAACAGGGGGGGTTAGATGGGGCAGGAGTCCCAGGGGGGCAGATAGGAGGTGGGGCCGGGCCACGACCTCCTCCCCTAACCAGCCCTCCATACAATTTATGAAACCCGATGTGGCCCTCAGGCCAAAAAGTTTTCCCACCCCTGTTCTAGAGCCCAAAGATTGGTGAAGTTTAAACAACATTCTAAGTCCAAGCAAACGGCTGAAGCAGCAAAGCAATCAAGATGCATCACTGCCTAGATTAAAGTGAAAAACTTGAATCTGTTATGCAATGTTTTCAGAAAATGGATTGACAGTTTTCTATACGTGTGGTGGGAATGCTCTCTGGTTTCTAATCTATATGAATCATTTAGATCAGTGCTTCTCAATCTCCTCCATACCACGCTCCCCATGTTACAACAGAAAAACAATTTTTTTCCAATCCTGCCTTCTATCTCATCTAACAGTTGCCTTGTGTAGTCATGACTAGAGCTGGGCAAATAATTGATTTTTTTTCTGGTTGCAAGCAGTCTCTTCTCCCCACCCATTATTTTTATGTGACCCAAACTGAATCAGAAAATTCCTGACAAATGTCGGCAAATCAAAAAAGTCCAATTCGGGTTAAAAAAAATTGTTCAACCTCAGAACATTTTGTTTCTGAGCATTTTGAAAGGGCTAGAATCATAAAATGGGTGGAGGAGTAGGTGGGGGTCCCCCTTATTTAGCCCAGTGGTTAGGGCACTCATTCAGGATGTGGGACGCCCAGTTTCAATTCCCCCCCCCTGTCTGATATGGAGCAATTGGGTCTTCCACCTCCAAACAGAGTACCCTAACCACAGGGCTAGAGAGTATTCTAAGCCAGGTCTCTCTTCTTTTAATAATAATAATAATAATTAATAATATATGGAGATATACCTATCTCATAGAACTGGAAGGGACCTTGAAAGGTCATCGAGTCCAGCCCCCTGCCTTTGAAGCTGTTCCATTTTGTATAAAATACTTGAATAGTCTTTGGAGCAGGGCCTTTAACTGGGTGACCCCCACCCAGAAGAGTGCGATAACCACCAGGCTACAGAGCCATTTTCACTCTCTCTCTCTCTCTGCTGCTCTGTCAGGAAGAGGGGGAATCTAGACCTGAATCCCCCACATGCTGGTTGAATGTCCAACTACTATCTAAAAGATATAAATGGGGACCACCATCCCCTCTTTCTCCTCTAGCTATTTTGTGAATGGTGCCAAAGTCAAGAAAAAAAATTGCCAAAGCTATTTGTGAAATTCATGTCAAATGTTTCAGCTTGACCAAAACTGCATTTTTTGAGAATAAAAGATTTGTTCAAAAATCTTCACCCTACTCTAGTCATGACTGTTAGGCTGAGAGCCCATGATCTAGACTATGGTTACATGATCTGATATTTAGGGCTAAAGCCAATTTATCTGAATGTCAGTTAGTGCCATTGGCTTCAGGAGGAATACTCCTGTGAGTAAGGTAATTTGAGTACCACTTAAATGAAATAAAGCTGAGTTCTTAACAAAAAAAAAAAAAAAAGATTTAGGTACCCCAGGTGACTCCAATGACACAAAGTAACCTCTTTGTAAACATACTCATTTTATAAGGAAAAATGAGTTAAAATTTTAATACGGAGAGCACAGCCTAATACAAACTTCTACAGAGAGATCATTTTATTTAGTTTTCTTTGTTTTCTCCTCAGGATACTCTAAGAGAAAAATTGAACTATACTAGATGAAATCTTCACATCAAATCATGACTAACAGGAAGAATAAATGTGATTTTAAAAAATGGTCTTTTTGAAAGCCTGCCTACAATCATTAGAAATTATCTCATTCTATATTTTATTTTCACTTTGTTATATTTCCAAAGGAGGAGAAGTCCATTAGGAAGTTGTTGGAGGATTTGCCTACATAGACCAGTAAAATCCTCAAGCTACTGTATGTTTTTAGAATCTTAATAATCTGAAAGTCTTAATGCACAGAAGTATTGAAGGGGCAGAGTGATAGGTGAGACTTGCCAAAACAAAACGTAACTTCCAGCTTCACTATCCTCAGTAATTTTGGGTGTCTCTTTAAATTAATTTAAATGATTTTCAAAGGAAATTGGAATTATTTGAGAATCAATAAAACCAAATTGGAAAATAATGTAATTTGCCTAGCAGGTGTATAATTATGTATGTATGGGCCTGAAATCAATAGCTCAGGCCCTGAGTTTATGTGTGTAATTAGCATGTGCATTGTGTAGTGGTTAGAGCACAGGACTTAGGTTTATTGAGTTTTCTACCAAGCTCTGCCACTGATTAGAAGTGACTTTCAAATGAGTGACAGCCAATTTTTCTGTGCTTTCATTTCCTTATCTGTGAAACGAGAATACTCCTACTTATGGTACTTGTTTAACAGGAATGTTCAGAGGCTTAATTGAATAATATTGTTTAAACACTTTGGGATTTTTGGGTGGAAAGCACTATAAAAGAGCAAGTTTTATTTGTATATTAAGGCTCTCTTGATAACTAAACAGAGACCCTAAACTTCTTTCCACTGAAGACAATAGGAACTGTTAGCTTAATTTCCAAAGTGCTGAACACCCATGTGTTTAGGTACTTTAAATATGGCCGCAGGTGGCTAATATAGGCATACGTTCCACCATGCGTCTGAGACAGGATAGTGGTTTAGATGGACTTGAGGTCTGATCCAGCATGGCAATTCCTATGTTCCTAAATCTTTACCTTAATTTTTATTCTTACTTCTTTTTAGAACCTAATTCATACTGGCTTTTTAGGTTTTCATTTGAACAGAAAATCCGTGGAATAATCCTCCTGCCATCTAATCACATTTAAAACATAATAATATAAATGATAGGTGTTAAAACAGCAACCATTATAGAAACTAGTAATGGGTGAACCTCAAAAGTTTGGATTCTTATCTGAATAAATCAGTTCATTTGGATTTACAAAAGTAGGCTCCACATCTCACAAGAACAGACTCTTTTGTGAGGCTTTGATAAATTCAGCTTCTGGTCAGGCTTGAAACACCATAAATAGCCATTTTTGTAGAGTTTTGGCATTTCTGCTTCCAGTCCCAGCCTGAATCTGTCAGCCCAGGTCCTCAAAGGTATTTAGGTGCCTCGTTCTCATTGAAATTAGTGGGAGTTAGACACCTAAATATCTTTGAGGAATCTGGGCTGATGTGTCTGTAAATGAAAAGTAATAGGGAATAAAAATAATCAGAAGAGAATTAAATGGCTTAGTTAGTGTGCAACATGTGCTTGTGTTCTCGCCAAACAGGTTTGCCAGCCCTTAATCAGAATTGCGGTTGGGCATCAGGTATTAAGGTTAGGGTTAGGTAGATCATGCACTTAGATCTAATAATAAGAATTTCTTCTACAAGCTGGGGTCTCATCAGTTGGAAGTGACAGAGGAGGAGAGTGACCTGGGTCTGTGGGTTGATCACAGGTCATCTATGAGCTACCACCAGGGTGAGGAGGCTGTGAAAAAGACATCCATGTATCACAGTTGCATCAGGCAAGGCATTTCCAGTAGAGACATAAGTATTAATGCCATTGTACAAGGCATTGGTAAAACCTCATTTGGAATACTGTGTACAATTCTGGTCACTCATCTTCAAGAAAGATGAATTCAAACTGGAACAGGTGTTGAGAAGAACTACTAGATAGGATGATCAGGGGAATGGACGGCCTATCTTATGGCACGAGACTGGAATAGCTATGCTTGTTTAGCCTAGCAAAAAGAAGGCTGAAAGGGGATATGGTTTCTTTCTATAAATACATCAGGGAGGGTGAAGAGTTATTTAAACTAAAGGACAATGTTGGTGCCCGAACAAATAAACTGGCCAGGAACAAATTCAGGCTGGAAATTAGAAGATTTCTAAGCATCAGAGGAGTGAGGTTCTGAAACAGCTTCCCAATAGGAGGTGTGGGGGCAAACAATGTAATTAGTTTTAGGAAAGAGCTGGACAAACTTATGAGTGCAACTTGTGATGATAGGGGGTAAGGCTCAGCAGCCCTCGGTCTCACTTCTGGTTTATGTTTTATGTTCCTATAAGCTCATGCTTGAGGGCTTCAGCTGGTCACCTGGTAGGGTCAGAAAGGGATTTTTTTTCTCTCCCCTCTCCCCCGTGTATTCCGATGTGATGTGAGCATGAGTGTATGTATTTGTGTGTTTTGTCTCCTTCTTTTGACATATCAGAGATGTCTATGACTGGAGATGGGAGACTGGACAGAGTG